ATGAGGTACTACACAGCAAAATGTAGTCAGGACTAACTCCAGTCCTTTACATATCTGTTCAGAAGTAAGTTGTTCTGATCAACAGGCTTTATACACAAGAGGAAATAAGGATTTCATCCTATGTCTTATTAAAATCAGTCAATCCTAGTTATAATAACGGCCACCAAATTTTACTTCAGTCACATGATATGTAGCTAAGGGTTCATTTACAGTAATAAGTCTGGGATTGCATATGCATATGTCTATGTCCCTTTCACAAAACCCTGGGTAGCCCTGTCAAAAAGCAAGGAGAAACAAAGAAATTAAAAGGAAGCTAGCTCTCAAAATCCTGTATTCCTGTAAATGGAGGAATTTCACCTTTTTGAGTCTTGGGAAAGGGTAGAAAAGCATCAGACACTGGGAATACTCAGGTCCACCCCAAAAGCTAGAGGATCTTGGCCACCCCTTTTCATGAGCAAAGATCAGCCACTTTTCACAGTTGTCAGTGAAAGGAAAGTAAAAACTATACCTCTTTGCAGCCTCTCAGGGTCAATATTCAGGCTGCATGCTTTCCGCACTTTAACAACAGACTCCCCCTAGGACAGCGGTGGCAAACCTATGGCATGTGTGCTGCAGTGAGCACACAGAGACCTCTCTGATGACATGCGAGCCAAGCCGCCCCAGCATTGCCCAGCAGCTGAGCATCAGATAATAGCACACACAGGGGCCATGCACATGCTCGGAAATATCTAAGATTTAGCAAAGAGATGTTCTAATTAAGAGACTGAGATTCTTTTAATGTTGTGCTGCCCCCCTGGCATATTTGAATTGGTAGCATCATATTTAGTTGTTTGTGAAGCATTTATGAAAACAAGAGCAAGGATATATATATTTGCTTGGACTGGCTGTGATTTTAGCAGAAGCCTCCACAAGGTAGGAAATGCACTCAGATGCCTTTTTCAGAGTGGGCTGAAAGCTGGTGGTCAGGGGAACATTGCCCCCTTGCACTGGTGGTCAGCAAATTCAAGAGGAACCCCAGCTGAGAATCACTGCTGTAGACTGTTGATTCAGGGAATATCCAATTCTTTAGTGTTAACTAATAGTGTTAGCTATTTTTGGTATTTTTGGTTAGCTATCTATTTTTGAGATAGATTTGTATCGGGTGTTTCATTTTACCTTTTACCTTTAAATAAAAAAGCTGTTTGTATCATTGAAAGCTCTGTTATTGTGTTTTTCTTTTAAGACAAAGATGTTAATGTATAAGTTGTTTTTTCTAAACTAAAACCTCAGTATTCAGGTTTTATTGCAGTGTTGGCACTTTGCGATAAATAAGTGGGTTTTGGGTTGCAGTTTGGGCACTCAGTCTCTAAAAGGTTCACCATCACTGCCCTAGGACATTGTCCAGGCAAGGCTTTCCATTTTGGAGCTCTGCAAATATGCATCTGCACAAGTCTGGCTAATTTCCTTTTTAAAAAAATATGAAACATTTTCATGATTTTTTTTTTGCATTTGAAATGTAATTTAAAAATGGGGTGATGAGTCAGTGATAGCCCCTTCAGTGTGATGCTTTGGCACTTTACTAAGGCCACCACGGCTGCCAGCTTGAAGATCCCAAAAGATGTAAAAAAGCATGCGAGGGAGCTGTGGCAAGCAAAAAAGGCTCATGATTACAGTAGGGAGAGGAGATAAGGTAGCTTTAGCCACTGAGTCCTTTGTGATTCAGGTGGAGGACCAAGGGGGAAGGAGTGGTAAGGCAACCTATGATGAGCCACTGCCTATCTATTGGGCACAGCACAGGTTTCTCAACAAAGGACCTAATGCTATGGGCAATCCCACTCACTGACTGGCAGTGGCTCTACAGGTTTTCGGGCAGGATTCTCTCCTAGCCATATCTGAAGAAGTTGGGGGCAAAGCATGTGCTCTGCAGCGGAGCTAGGCCCCACCCTATTCATCGTCATAATCAAAAACAAACAGATCTATACAGTTATAAACATATTTAAACATATATCTAAGCAGTTACTCTGGGCTGAGTATAAGGTAAGCTCTCATGTTCAAACCTCTAGATTAATTCCATCTTGGATTATGATACTAAAAGAAATGGTTTGGTATACCCTCCCTCTCCCTGGCAGACAGGAGTAGTTCCTGTTCCCAGTCAAAACATTTTTCTGTCAGTTTCTATAGCCTACCACCTTAATATGACTGACTGATACAGATAGGATAGGTAGTGGCAAGTGCATTAATTTCAGTCTTCCTCTGTATTTGGACAGTCCCTACTTACTCAGCAAAGGGGAAGGGGTTGAACCATGTTGTCTGTCAGAACCCTCCCAGCTGCTTTTTAGTGTTATATTACATGCATACATTCTACACTATCTGATAGATAGTGCTTGGGTAACTGGGTTTCATCAAAAAAACCAAAAGTGAAACCCAGTTACCCAAGCACTGACTGGATAGGCAACATTAAATGAAGTATCACTACAGCTAGGTCACAGGCAAGGGTCCATTTTTGTTATTTGGCATAATATATCCCGACAGGATCAAAAAGGTAACTGTACAGTTTATCACACTAGTTAAAATTCCATCTCATTGCCCCCAGAGAGTGATACATACATCATGCATAGATAAGCTATTCCCTGCCCTGACCCTTTAAAGGCAGTCAGCTGCGCACACCCTATTTCTATCTTTGCTTGAAAGGAAGCCTGATCTTGCACAATGTTTGGTGGTATTTGCAGAAACTGTGTCCTCACAGAATCAAGCTGAATATTCAGAACAGTTGCATGCACTAGCCCTGCAAAGCAGGGAGAGCAGCATCCCATCTTCTAGACCTTCCCTGCCACCATACAACCAACACAACAGGAAGGACAGGACGCTGTGTTTTATTTTACATTTTGTACTGTTAAACCATCCTGAGACTTCATTAAGAGACAGTCTAGAAAAGTTATATACAAATAAACACACACACACACACTGTGTTGCCCTGTTCTCATCCCCATGTGCTAGTCTCACACAGGGGAGCACTCAATGCATTGTCTCCCACATGCCATCTGAAGGGACTGTACCACATGATTACCTTGACTGTGCATACCAGCTCTAACATTCAGATTCTGAATTCATCTTCTCCAGTGTGCATGTTGTGTGGGCACTGGCCTGTGCACCAGGCAAAGCTTGTGAAAGCAGGAGCTGCCCTGTCTGCTCCCATTCATTCATTCCCATCCCACCATTTTCCCTCTTGCAAGGAACCCAAGGAAACTCACACGATCCTCTGCAGTTTTACCACACAAGGATCCCATGAAGCAAGTGAAGCTGAAAGCCAGCATCTGGCCCAGAGTCACTCTCTGTATTGTGCTGGCCCGGTGAGGGCTAGAGCCCAGATCTCCCAAGTCCCAGTTCAACACTTCAAACACCACACCACACCAGTTCCATGCCAGGCAATGCGCTCAAACAGTAATATCTAGCCTGGAAGTAGGCCTTCTACAAGGATTGCTCTATATCGATTTTAAAGCTGTATGGAACACTGGATCACAGTGTATGTCCCTGCTCATAAACAAAAATGAATGCTACTTCTACCTCCACCTCATCAGTACAGAGAAAGAACAGTCCCATTCACCCTTGCTTTAGGTAGCTGGCTATTGTAGTTTCTTTTGAGTTTCCAGTATTAGCAAATTTCACTATGTTCTTTCAGAGCATTGGTCATTATAGTTGCATCTAATCAGCCTGTGTTTGGAAAGGAATGACATATATGAAACTCCTGTATCTTAGCTAAAGCCTTCAAAGGGCAGTGTAGAAGTCTATCAGGTGTGTGGGTGGGGGGTGAGAGGGAAACAACCTCAGGTTTTTGGACCAAATTTAGCCCTCCCAGGTTCCAATCCTATCTTCCAGGTCTCCCAAACATTTGGTGGTTTTCCAGCTTCTACATGTTTCCCCCACTAATTCCACAAGACTGAAATTCTCTACTAAAGCTTAGTTATTGGTAGTGATAAGTTTAAGATCAAACATGCTGATGTTGGGGTCCTGCACAGGACTGAAATACAGACCTTGAAAGCTTCTCTAAAACTGGATTTCATCCTTGGACTAAAAGAAGTTCTCCCTGATGTATATAATGTATACACTTTACCTGTAGCTCCATGAGTCCTTTCTCAGACTTTGTGTTTCTTATACACATAATGCAGATGCTGAGGGCACAATCTTATGCAAGCTTAGACAAAAAAGGCCCACATTGTAGGGCATTTTTCTGTCTAAACTTCAAAGGTTTGTCCTTAAGAATGGAGCTTAAAGGAGGAGGCAGCTGCAGGGCAGGAAAGTGACTTCGTTTTTTCCTTTTTGTTTTCCAGTTGAATTCCCACCCTGGCCAAAGGACTGACTCTTTATGTAAGAGCCTTTCCAGATGACCACCTCCCACCCTGCCCAAACCAATTGTTTTTGTTATAGTACCACTTGCCCTCTCCAGGAGGAAATGGTGCTACATACCCAGTCCCACTTAAGGAGAGGAGCCAGTGGTAGTACTTTTATGCAGACAGCCATTTAAAGCACACCACAGCATATGTGCAGAAACAGACTCTGCCCCAGGAACTGAGAAAGGTGTTGGGGATAATTGGGAGGCTCCTGGAAGGTGCCTCAGTTGCAAAAAATATGTAGGTTTAAAAGGGCCCAAAAAGTGCTTATTTTGCAAAATGCACAAGGAACTATGTATGCACTCAGAAATGCAGTCCAGCATGGAAATGGGAATGGGATGATCCCTATCCCCATTTGGGACTTGCTAGTGAGACAGAGGCTTCCAGTTCTTCCCACCTCCAGAAGGTAATGCTGGTTTGGAAATAATTTTCCAGCATCCTCTGGGGCAATGCAGCATATGCTGCAACATGCACCTGTTTCTTCGGTGACCCTCCTCCCCCAAAAGTACTGGTATCAGAAATGACTGCTTGCGTCGCCTATGCCATCGGGCCTATCTTGCTTGTAAAAGCATCTTGCAGTGAGAAATAGGATAGGAAAGCACTTGGTTTTTCCTTTCTGCTTAGTTTGCTTACCGGGATAGAGGCCACCTGAGAGGTTCATGGTTTGCAAATAGCTGTGGCAGCGCTCCTTATGTTCTTCCAAAGAGCTGCGCTGCTTATAACTCCGACCACAATATCCACATTTGTGGGGCTTGCCAACTGCAATGGGGGAAACGGAATTGACCGTATAAGCTAAATGAAATGAAATGTGGGTAACATAATCTGAGCCAAATAATGCACACACCTTAGAATCTGTGAGTCAAGCTGATGCAGGCAGAGCTAAACAAACACTTAGAATCAATATTCTGTACAGAAACAAGAAATGGACAACTGTTGTATTCCTAATGTATGTGCCTCAGCCATGTGTTAAAGAAAGCAGGCCCTTTCTATATGAGCTTAATTGCTATCTTCTCTTATAGAAGCTCTTGGGAAGTGTAAGCCACTAGCAAGAAGGGAACTAACTCCAACAAACTGGAGTTTGCTCAATACTGAGTTTAAAGTTTGAGTTTGATCCAAATCAAAATACATTTTGATGTGCATCTGAGACTAACTGATTCTTTAAAGTGTTTAGAAACAGCATTTTTTAATTTCTTTTACAGGAAAAGTAAGGTTGGTGAGGTCTTGGAAATTAGTTTAATATCAGGGTTTATAGTATTTAGAGTTCCTGGGAGTAAATTTGCCATACACAGATTCCAGGAATTCTCCTGGCTGGTCCCTACCTACCACACAAACCTAACATAACCTCCACTTAGGTCAGCTTATGTATAGGAAAACTGGAAAAACCTACTCCAGTACTTGAATTCAGTCTAAGCCCTTATGAGTATTGTAATATGTAAGTTGCTACTGAAGTCACAGAATGTGAATTCTTCATGTCATACATGTAATATATGAAACTCTTTTAAACTCTTCTTCCAAACACAGTTTCACAGCTTCCTCTTCTCTGTGCTACTTAGTTTGTGAGGATACTGAGGAGGGCTTAAATTGCTTCAGAATTATTCTGTTCTCTGGCAAACTGTTTCAGGCCTTCAAAACTTATGGCTTGCCAAGCAGAACATGGCCTATCAACCATATGATGTGTCCTGTCAGGGTCTTGACAATCCCCCTATACTTGCAGTCCTGGACAGGCAGGAAAATTAGGAAGGTCACCAAATTTCTGATAGGCCTCCTTGTGTGGCTGATGGGCTGTGTTCAACTTAGGCACAGAAGTTATGTGGGCCCACTTGGAATGCCAACTAATGTTTTTTAAAACTGATATCAAGCCTTAATTTCAGGACAGGAGAAGAGGAAATCTGAAATGACATATCTTTCATCCTGAATCAGATGCAGAGGTGGCATTTGAAGTATGGCCTGGCTAGGCAGCCACCAGACTTTTTCTAGAATGTTCTAATGTGGACACCTACCGGAATGGGTCCTCAGATGGCCTGTAAGAGCATCTCTACGACGACAAGCATAGTTACACAAGTGGCACTTGAACGGCTTTTCGCCAGAGTGTAACTTTATGTGGCGGAGAAGGTTGCCTTTTTGAGTAAAGGATGCCCCACACTGATTACACTGGAAGGGGCGTTCGCCTACAGGGAGAATGAGAGGGAAAAATATGTGAGAACAAAACTCTTACATTGTAACAGGAGGAAGATTTCAGTGAGAAAGTTGTTTTCCAACTGGCGCTCTATGACTTCCACCGGCTGCAGGTTTGATATAACATGAGCCTTTCAGACTAAACCTGCCAGTTCCTTAACGCTTCACTGGCTGGGTCAATTTGATCTGAAAATCTAATTTTTTTTTTCTAAATCAGAATGGCACATCACAATGCAAATTCAAACTCATTTAAATAAAGTGACTGCAACATTTTGTGTTGAAGAGCCACTCTTCCTGATCAGCAGTTTTGGAATAAACCAATATCCAATTTTGCATGTTGTGGCATTTGGTGGGGTTTTTTAATGTGGCTTTTTTCAAAGGGTCTTTAAAATATGCCACTGAAGCAGCAAAATAAAAAGGAAACTCATTAAAAATGCATTTCAGGATCACAAGTTCATTTCAGCGTTACATTCTTATATTTAAATGAAAGGCACTTCATTATAACAGTTATAATAACTTCTTTTCATTTACATTTTCCCTGTATTTTCCCTTTCAATTTCTTCTCCATTACCTGGCTGTCCCTAAGCAGCCAAATCAGGAAGGAGACAGAGAAAAGCATGGGGGTGGGTGGACTAAAGAGAGAAGTTAAGACAGAGCAAAGGAACCAATATCTTCCATTCAGAAGTCCTGACCCTCCTCATGGGTAGGATACACAGGAGTTGTATCAAAACACTTTTTTTTGTCTTAATCCTTTTGAAAAAAAATGCTCAGAGTAATTGGTATACATTAGCATGTTATCTACTTTGATTTAGCAGTACTGTGATTTCTAAATAGGATTATTGTGTTGTTATGATTGCCTCTTGAGAAGATAGGCTCTTTTGGGTAAACTGATGAGTTTTACTAGTACCTCCAAACAATTCTAGGTTTCTTAGGGCTCAATTCTATGGCTGCTATACGTGGCCATAGCAACATTTGGGGTCTCAGCCACTATCTCAGAAACTTGCTCCAAGATTAGAGCTAGAATTCATAGCTCAGGCACCCTCCCTCTGCTTTTGCAGCTGATACACAAAGAGCCATGCTGGCAATGGCTCTGGGGTCACAAGAATAACCTCCAAGAGCATGTTCTATGGACCTGGTGGGAGGAGACAGGCTATGGTAGCCGGCTGGGTGTTTTGCAGAGCTGGAGAACTACAGAGGTGATCTGGGCCGCCACTCTCCTTCTACCTCAGTAGCCTACCTGTAATCCTCTGTATTTGGAGAATTACGGGAGCCACATTGGATTTGGCTGTCTGCTGCTTAGTTATCTGCCTTTTAATCAATGAATAGGCTAATTATGTGTCAACAATTAATGTAAATACATTTACATATCAACAAAAGTTTGATATAGAGGCCTTGTTAAATTTTTGGAAGCAGTCAGAAGAAACTATGTTACAATTATTATTCTTCTTATTCTTCTTATTATTCTTATTACTATTATTACATTGCATTTATATCCTGGCCCAATTTCACCCAAAAAGCTTCATGGCTGAGTGGGTTCTAGAACCCAGACCTCCCAGGTGGCCAATCCAACATGCTAATCATCACACCACACTGATCTAAAGCTACCACCTTTTCTTAGAAGAAAAGAAATCTTGAACATTTTTCATTCCTTGGTACAGTAACACACCAGAACCAACATATCATTTAAAAACAGCACATTCTCTTTGGTTAAACTTTGTCCTCAGTGATTAATCAACCAATGCATCAATTAAAATGATTAAAGTTTGCAATATTATGACAGGGTACATACAACTATTATGTTGAAGACAAAACACTGTTGTGCATATATTTCCTACAACCGTACAGCCTTCCTTTCAGGCTTCCCTGCAATTCCCATTTCTCAGTTCTGAGGTTACCTGTACCCAGAGGAAGTACCCACAGAACAATGGAACATGCCCCAATTTTATGTAATTGCTTTACATTTTCTAATAAAGGTGAAAACATTTAGAATCCACCCAAAGAGGTAGCCTTTTTGAAAACAGTCTACATAAGAAAGAAAGTGTATTCCTTGCCAGTTATGTTACAATTTTCTCATTATGGAGCTAGAGGGCCTTGCTGCTGCGCATTAAATGTGAACTTGCTGCTGAGCATTAAATATGTTTGCCCTAGTAAAATAACAAGTTCTCTTCTGTATAAATATAAACAGGAAGTATTCTCATAAACAATGCAATATAAATGACAAGAAAATTTGAGAAAACCAAACCAGGTTAGAACTATCCTTTCTTTTTTGCTACTAGGATTTAATTTATGACATTCTAGGATGATTACTGTTTAGACAGCTGCATTATGGAAGTCATGAATTCTAATCCCACTCCTGGTACATAAAGCAATTTCATATTCTGGGCTAGTGTAGCACAGTGGTCAATGTGCTGGGTTTGGATATGGAAAACCAGGTTCAAGACTGTAAAGTAGTCTACAAATGTAATGAATAAAATATGGATTATTGTGTAGCTCCACTACAGCTACTAGATCAAACTGTCACTTTTTCTCATCCTGAGACCATGGAAAATAGAAAATAACTAATGGATTGCATGATTTGAAAAGGTAATTTTGTGTGACTGTCATGTATAGGTATGGGGTACAATGGAATCAAAGGGATGGATCCAGAGCCATTCTTAAAGTAAACCCAATGAAATCAAGTGGATTTAATTAACTCATCTACTGATGTAAATGCATCCAGTATGAATAAGTCTGAATCCTATTCAGTATGTTCAGCAAGAAAAGGAATGCTGAAAGCAATGTAGCTGTTTTTTGTTTGTTTGTTTTTTAAGCTACGTAGCTTTGAGCAGGACAAAGGGGCTGCTAAACCTGAATTATGCACATCCAGTATAAGCACAGTTTGGAAGTACTTAGGCAAAAGCCTGCCTTCCTACCTGAATATGTTACTCCTGCTTGGCAGCTACAATCCAATGAATACTAATGGGTTTTGACATATGGATACTGGGTATGCAAAAGCAAGGGATGCACAGGGGACCAGGAAACCACAGGTAGTAATGTGGATTCTCATCTGAAACCACATTCCTTGCCCACACATCAAAACAGTTGTTTCCACAGTTCTTTGGAACTGGGCAAAAGCATGAGGAACTGTGGTTAGCTTTGCCACACTTTGGTCCTACTTCTGTAACCTTAACATCAACTCAGTGCTAGATCACAATTTTAAAAAGGAATATTGGGTTTTGTTTCAAATGAGATTTGGCACATAAATACTGCAAATGCCAGTGTAGTTTTATATTACCACAAGCCCTGCTGGGAAGTGATTGCACATTACCTAGTCTCTAAAGAAGTTTTGCCACTCTAATGTTTTCTTCTTCTTCTTCAAAAGACTGTGTGTGTATTTATATGTTTGAATTAGAATTCACTGAGTAAAAGCAAAACATTTCTTACCCATCTCCCTATCTCTGCATGGCCTGGCAAATTGGCAAAGTCCATCAATTTAATCAGCTGATGCTAATTAATGGTAAAATTGGTGAGGTTTTATACTGTCTCTATGGTGAGCCCAAAGAAACACTATGGAACTGACATGCATGTCAGTTCATTGGGCATCTGGGGCTTCATACTGTGTGTGTGGGGGAAGGGGGAAGGGGGGAGGGGGGAGTGAAGTATTGTCAATTTTATTGCTGCTTTAAAAGAATGCTGGAGGCAAGAGAAGGGCCAGTGATGTTGGGGCCAGGCAGGTAAGATTACAGAGTTACCAACAATGTCACTGATGCAATTGTTAAGATAAACCTCCTCTGGATTCTCCAGAATGAATTTTTAAAAATGGTTCAGTACCGGATAATAGAACTAGTGTGTAAATACCCACATAGCAATAAGCCAGCAGGACCTTTCCCATAATGTATCTTCACACCAAGAAAAAAAAAACCCCTTCACTTCAACTAACTCTTGAGTGTTAATTGTAATTAAATGGATAGCAGTAAGTCCAGGAAAAGGTGACATCAGAAAATTGGGAAGTACAGAAGAAAGAAAGGAGAAAGAATGAAAAAAAAAAAAAGAAAACTGGGGCAAGAATGATCACCAGCTGCAGTGTCAGGTTGGGCTCAAATGCTCTGCTTAGTACCAATTCAAGCTTAAATTAGCAAAGGCAATTCTCAGCACAACTGAACAGAAATAGTGGGAAAGTGGGTTCACTGGTCAGAGAATGCCCTGAGCTCTAAATTTCTTTACATCTGCTAAGATTTCCCAGAAAGGGATAACAAAAATATAGCATAAATAGTAAAAGGAAATATATATTTAACAAGCAGCTGTGAAAGGGCAAAAATGCAAGTGTATCATAAATAGACAGAATGAGTAAGTTAGCAAGTTGTAGCAGTAATTAGAGTAAAAGGAATTTGTCAAAGCAATGCTGAAATTGCAATGCAATGATGCCTACAATAATCCCAAATGCAAGAAACCAGGCAGAGAAACATTTGAAAAGCATTCTATCAGCTTTATAATGCTGAGAATCCTAAGGGATTGAAGACAGATATAGTTGTAATTAAAAGAGACCCTTTCAAAACAATGGGACTTAAATTAGTCGCATAAACTTAAGCCCAATTGATTTCAATGCGTTTACGCTAAGTATGGCTAGATGTGAAGCCAATGCAAGGTCAATAACTGTGTTCCTATATGTGGAAAAAGCCTTTGACAATGTTGAATGGCCTGTTTCTTTGAAGTACTGGAAGCAGTTTCAAATTATGTATCAGGGCTCTGTATGAAAAAACCCAGAGCCAAACCATTGGCCAATAACAAATGACAAATAATACCTAATAAAAAGGGCAAAATATGGGTGTTTGCCATTGGCATTGCTGAGAACAATGTAGAATTGTTTGCCAGCACAGCATAGGGGTTAGAGTGCTAGATGAGTACACAGGAGATGTTGCTTCTATCCCCTACTTGGCCATGCAACTTACTGATCCTCAACCTAACCTAGCTCACGAAGTTGTTGTGAGGCTAAAATGGAGAGGAGCCTTACGTA